CAAGGCCTCATAAGGTTTACCATTTGAAGACCCTCTTGGTGAAAATTTCTCAAGTACTCCTGGAAGAACAGTAAATCTAGGAGGATTATGAGATATATAGGATGGTGGGGGGGGGGTGAACTCAATAAAGCTCACTGTTATCTAAATAAGCAATATATTCACTACCCTACGTATATTCTAAATAACCCAGAACAAATTCTAGACAGTATCAACAAGGTGAGCAGGGAGGAAAGTGGGAGGAAGGAAGAGGAAAAAGATGGGAGAGACAAGAGGAAGGTGTGGCTCTGGAGGGAAAGATACAGATATTAATAAGGTTAAGATACTCACAGGAAAAATAAACAAAGGGACAAACCAGAGGAATAAAAATACAATATATATGTTCAAACTTGCAGAAAGAAATTTAGCTTTCTAAAAGAAGGCAAGAAAGGATGGGGAAAAGAATGAAGTAAACTAAAAAACATGAAATAAGATGGCAAAATAAGCCCCAAATACAACAGTAATTGCAAGAAAACATAAATAGGCTCACCAATCAAAACAGACTCTTTAGATTAAAAAAGAAACAGTCCTTTACTATGTTGTCTACAGGGATTCACCAGAAAAGGACACAGAGAGAGTGAAAAGAAACAGATGGAAGAGAACAGCAGGCAAATATGGAGGGGGAAAAGTCTGGCTTCCAATGCAGTTTTGACAGGGGAAAAAAGCAAACAACATCCTAATAAAAGGAATAACTGATCAACAAAACACAATGATCATGAACACATTTACCAGTGAGCATACAGCTTAAAAATATAAAAAGCAATAACTGGTGAAACTATAGGCAGAAATAGATAAAACAACAAATAACATACCCTTTTCAGAAACTGGCAACTAAGCAAAGATATGAAAACTTGAATAACACAATAAACTCAAATGAATAAATACATAGAAAAATAGAAAAATTTTCATTCAAAAGTGAATACAGTCTTTTCCAGCACACATAGAACATTTACAAAAAGAGACTTGTGTCTCAAAGTAAGCCTAAACAAATTTCAATGAATCAGTCTTCTCTTATCAAAATGCAAAAAAAATTAGAATCCTGAAACATAAGTAGGATGTGACCAAAGTCTTATCTAACCCTAAATCTAACCATACTGGATGTACTAGAAACAAACAAAAGTACTAGAAAATAACCTTTGGTTAGATAAATCATGAATATTACGAAGGCAATTATGATATACTTCAAGATAAATGAAAAAGCACTTCCTATCAAAAATTTAACAGTTAAATAACATAAGAGAGAAACTAATAGCTTTAAATATACCTATTGAAATGCAAAGAAAGACTAAAATAAATGAGGTAAGCATTAAAACAAACACAAAAGAGTAAACCCAAGGAAGGAAATAATAAAGGGCAGAACAGAGAATGGAAATACAACAAAAACCACTGAAAGGAAAATCTTTTTCTTTGAAGAAAATCAGCAATGTAGACAAACCTCTGGTGAGTCGGATCAAGAAAAAAAGAGAGGTGATAAAAAGGAACAAAATTTAGAATTAAAATACAATTAAGCAAAAAAGTTTAAACAAATGAAAGGGTAATATAAATAATTCCATGTGTATGACTTTGAAAAACTAGGCAAAATGGACAAATTTCTGCCAAAATTGGCACAATTTTGACCCAGAAAATATAGTTCAACAACCATGAAAAAAAATTAAAATGGTAATCCCAGGCCAAGACAGTTTTATGGGGAATTTAACTTTAAAAAAAAAAATCCCTATCTTGTATATTTCTGGCATTAGGGAAATAGGCATAAGGCATAAGGTGCCCAAATCATTTTATGAGACTAATGTACCTGGATTCCAAACAAATGAAGACAGTACAAGAAAATAAGGTATAACTCTATTTTTCACTTATGAATACAGATTATAAAATTCAATAAAATACTGACCAACTGATTCCAGGAGGGTATTTTAAAAAGAATAAATTGTGATCAAATAAGATCTATCCCAGGAATGCAAGGATGGTTAAATGTGAGAAAAGCTAACATTACAATTCACTACATTAATGGTATGAAGAAAGCAATCACACGATTATCTCACAGACTCATAAAAAGAATTTGATAAGGTACAACATCTATATCTAATCTTTAAAAATCAGAAAATTAGAAATAGAGGAGAAACTCCTTAACTTGATAAATAAAAACAAATTGTAAGCATGATATTTAACGAAGAAACTACAAAAGCATTCCCTTTAAAATCTGGTACAAGACAAGGATATCACTTCTGTTTAACATGGGGCTACAGAGCTTAGTTATAAGGTGGGAAAAAGAAATAAAGGATATAAGGATTGGAAGAGAAATGACAAAATTGTTACTTCTTTGCAGATAATATTATTATCAATAAATATTGGAATTAATATGAGAATTCAGCATGCTTGCTAAATATCAGATCAATTAAAAAAAATTAATACAGAGATCTTGTGCTCAGTAAAGGCTAGTTCTCTTCCTCTTCCACGGGATGCTGTACTTTTTTTTGGCTCAATTCTCCTGTAACTCTCCAAATATTCTTATTCAAGACCATTTTTCTTCCTTCTACTGTTTATTGGTAAATGTTTCCCAGAGCTTAGCCTCTCACCTTCAGCCCTTTATATACTTTAAAAAGTCTGATGACTCTCCAATTTGTCTCCAGGCTTGCCTTCACACCCAAGTACCAGCTCTGTATTTCCATCATCCAATGTTCTCTCAAATTCCTATTCATCACACTCTCTACCTCCTTCTGAAAACCATGACCGCCCTGTCAACTCCTCCTCGTCAACTGACTAATGTCATTATCACCATTCTCAATGTCATCCAGGCATGAAATCTCCAACTTTTATTTTTCCTTCCCTGAGACAGTGGGCATTCAAATGTTTGTTAAATTAAAGATGTGCCAATGTTTTCTTTAACTTACCTTTCCATTCTTACTGTCTCAGATTTAATCCAAAGCCTCATGCCCCTATGATTCTCTGATCACTACAGCAGCCTGCTATATTCTTCCTCGCTAGTGAGGGTTCCACTCAAGTAGACTAGTGGTTGCCATTTTCTGTAGAATTTAACTTTAAATTATCACTGCCGTAATCACATGTAAGCACGTGTAAATAATCCATAAACAAATGGGTGTGGCTGTATTCCAACAAAACATAATTTACAAAAAGAGGTGAGGGGCCAGATTTGGTCCATGTGCCATAGTTGGCTGACCTCTGAAGTAGACTATCAAGTCTTTTCAAACCACTTTTCTTATCGCTGCTAATTCAATACAGAATCCAATTATCTGGGTAACAGAAAATCTAATTTATTTTCTTTTTTACATACAATACTGGTTGCCAGCTAGAAATTAAAATTAATTACTTAGGTATGTTGCTCATTACTTTCAAGACCTTATTTTCCCTTTAAATTTATGGACCTTGTAAGAATAATTTACTGGAAATTATATCAATAGTACTGTAAAGGCTTTGATCTAAGCAGGACAAATCGGAAGAGCTGGCAGCCAAGCAATCTTTCTCTCTTTTATGGAAGAATATATCAGGAATGATAGAAGCTGCCAATAAAAAATTTTGATTCAATGAAGCAGATCAAGATGACACTGATAGGCTTCTGATTTTAGTAAGCGGGAAAGGCCCAGAATTCTGCTAGCTATAGGAAAAAATAGCAACTTGTCCCCTCCAGACCTTGAAATGAAACTTGATTATAAAAGAAGGCATGAAAAAAACAATGCAGAGTGGCAGCTCGGAAGCATCTATTGTTCTAGATTTACAGCAGTCATTCTTTTCCCACACTAAAATGGGATACGGGCTGCCCCAAGTTATCTATCTATCTATACATCTATCTATCAGCTAACTATCTAATCTCTCCTGCTCTCCTGTGCAAACATGGGAAGAACCAGGATTTATGAAATGAACAACAAATTCTTTACAAATACCTAAACTAGAATAAATAATATATTTATAACAATGTTTATGTGCTTAGCTTCTTGCCAATATGACTGTTAAGGAATGACTAACTTGAAACTTTCCAGTAGCTTCCCTCTACACATTAAAATAAAATCCAAATCCTTCATCATGGTCTACAAAGTCCTACATGACCTGGCCTCTGCTAATCTCTTGGACATCTCTGCTAACTACGCTGCGTATGCGGCAATCACAATGGTCTTCTCTGCTCTGCAGACATGCCCAGCTTGTTCTCGCTTCAGGTGGCCTTCACCTGCCATGTCCCTGTAGTGCTTTGCCCTCACAGCTTTACAAGGCTCATTTCTTCAGGTCTCAGTTCCAATGAGATCTCCCCCCGAAGCTTTCTCTGACCATCCAATTTGAACTAGTCTCCACACTCTATACATAATCCTGCTTTGTTGTTTTCAGTACTTGTATCACAATCTGAAATTACTTTGCTCACTTATTTTCTGCACACCATCCTCTCTCCATATATCAACTGAGCATAGATCCATGAGCAGGGACTTTGCGTGTGGGTCACCATTGAATCTCTTACACCTAGAAGAGTGCTTGACACATAGTAAGCTGTTAGTAAATATTAAGTAATTAGTATCTGCTGAGTAAATGAGTGACCATCTCTGTTCCACATCAGGCTACGGTTACTGGAAGTATTGGGAAATCTCAGAATCCTGGAGGTGACCCTAAAGGCAGCAGGATCTTACAGAGGAACTTGCAATCCTAAATCTTGGGATACAAATAATCTAACTTTGATAGAGTGTCTGTAAAACATAAAGTTTCAGTTAAACGATATGAATAAACTCTAGAGATCTGTTGTACAATGTTGTACTTATAGTTAAGAATAATGTACAGTTAAAAATTTATTAAGAGGGTAGATCTCATTTTAAAGTTTACTTACCACAATAAAATAAAATTTAAAAAAAGAATATATGTAGAAACCAAAATGAGGAAGATTTAAAAACAGCTGATGGTACTCTGGATCCATTTTGAATTTATGTTAAATAATTAAAAAGCTGAGTTGTTAAAAGAGAATTTAGAATTACCTGGGGGTGTGTGGTAAGCAAGGAGGATCCAGAGACATAAGATACTTTCTCGTAATGGGACTGGATAATCCAGTTGGAACTTCCAAGGGCATAGCCAGAGCTGAGAGGAGTCACCTGGACTGCACCAAAGAGCTCCTGGAAGAGAACCACAGCAAGAACGTGTGCTGAGCTGTCAGTGATGCAGTCATACCAAACAAATTTGGAGGAGAAACAACAGAAATATTCTTCTCCACTTAGAAACAGAGACTGTTTTAAAGTAAATCAGAAAGTTTAAAGTAAAACAGAAAGACAATAGAGACCACAAGGTACACACAAAACTAATCCTTATAGTCTTTACTTGTCACCTTTGTGAAAGTTTCAGCCCATCCACATGTCACCAGACACCCAGGCCTCCCTCATTAAAAGGCAGAGATGATATATTACCAAATAGACCAAAGAGACAAATACTTGGGTTTTCTGTTTTTCTTTTCAGGTTAGGTGTTAATCTCTTGGTCATTCTGTACTGAGTGGCTCTGGGCACAAGTTAACAAAAATGGGCACCCTTACCATTATCAGGTAAGAGCTCAAAAGTTATACTTGCCAAATTGCTTCTTAATCTCTTTTACGCTCTCTGTTTCCTAGTTCACTTGTCCAAAATCTGTAAATTAGTGTCCACTGTTCTAATGTGAATAGGATGAGATGCCTTTTTCCTCACTTGTTACATGCTGGCCAATGTAATGCTAGCGAGTGACAGGAACATGAGGGTTAGGAAAGAGCACTAATAGCAACCTGGGAGGAATGGGGGGAATGGCAGACGCTCTGTCTTTTCACCTTGTTCAAAATTCTTAGTGACTGAATGGCTTAAAAAAGGGAACTAGAAGGTCTTTCCAATGAAGAACGATATGAATCAAAAGCATTCAGGAAATCATTTAAAATCATATTAATACTCACAATTTTCTGAGAATATCCCACCAGCTGGATTTTGCTAAGGGCAGAGTTCACCTCTTGCATTGTATAGCATCTTCTCCAGGTTGATACTTCCACTGCATCCTTGAGAGGAGAAGGCAGCAGCCTGTAAATGCATCACAATGCCAATTCTTTATGTTACAGAGGATTCCTTTCAAGCAATTTGTCCATTTTATCTAAGTTGTCCAATTTATTGGCATGTAATTTTTCACAGAATTCCTTTATAATCATCTTTATTCTGTAAGGTTGGTAGTACTGCCCCCTTTTGTATTTCTGACTCTAGCAATTTGAGTATGCTCTCTTTCTTTCTTGGTCACTCCAGTTAAAGGTTTGTCAGTTTTGTTTATCTTTTCAAAGAACCAACTTTTGGTTTCATTGATTTTCTTTTTTTTTTACTCTCTATTCTGTTTATCCAGCAGATAGCTGGATATGTATATATTTTTAAAATCAAGTCTGATAATCTCTGCCATTTGATTGAGATGGCTAATCCATTAACATTTAATATTATTACTGATATAGTTGGATTACAATTACCAATTTAATTTTTGTTTTCTGTATGTCATGTCTTTTTTTCCCTCTGTTCCTCCTTTACTACCTTCTTTTGGGCACTAAGTGAATATTTTCTGATGAAGCCTTTTAATTTTCTTTCATGATTTTTCACTATTTTTTTTTAAAGTTCTTTCCTTAGTGGTTGTTCTAGGGCTTACCATATACATCTTAATACAGAGCATTTCCATATGACATTTCAAATTCTCTTCCCTGTTTACCAAATGATAAATGAAATAAACTTTACTCATGGCCCTTTTCAGCTACAGAAAAGGATTGGGTTAAACACAGATGAGGCATGGATTAAAGGGGAAAATAAAACATCATCTGTGACATTTCAGACCAGCATCAGTATATCCCTTAAAACAAACAAACAAAAATTTGTCAATAGAAAAACATTTTATCATTTGTTCCAAGAGAATCAAGAAGAGACCTGAAGAGTGACTTCCCTGAGACTCTGTACAATAGAGGTCGAGGAACTTTTGGTGAATTAAAAGTGTGCATGAGCTCTGCTCTCTCTCCTGAAATACCAGTGAACTATCGTAAAGGGCTTCACACACACACACCCTCAGGACAAAGAGAATGAGAGAAGAGATAATAGCAACAGTATTTTAGTAAGTGGAAAGTAGAAAGACAAATGATAAACGACTTAGCAGACCCAAGAAAGTTGAGGTAACTTAATTTATACTGCAGAATCCACAAAATGCTCAGCAATTATAAACAACAGGTATGTCTGGAAGTTAGGTTGAAGGTGGGCCTAAAAACAAGAGGATCTGTTGAAAAAACTGATTAAGAAGCAGAACCTTCCAGTTCTCCTCACCTAGTCCCTATAGCTCAGCGCTTACCCCTTCCCCTCCCAGGCATGGCACCAGAAGTTATTCTCTGGAGAGAGGAAAAATGAGTTTGGACTAGACCATCCACAACTAGAGGCAGCTTTCTTAAGCAAAAGTTTATACACTGACAGTAACAATTTTCTTCTCCTCATATGTCTTCCAGAATACTATCAGTCAGGCTTATATCCTCCAGGATAGGAGACTGAAAGAACCTTCTCTGAACAGTTTGGTCAGCACTAAAGAAAAAAATCAACTAAAAGATACCAAACACGGGGTCTCATGATGAAACAGCCCAATCAGATTAGGTTATAGTAAAGTCTAGACTTCAACAAGAACTACTCATGGCTCAAGGACTTTGTAATCAGTTTTTTAACGTCCAACTCTTAAACATGAGCCAATAACCAAGGATTGACATACATTTGAGAAAAGTCTCTAAAATGAAATCAAAACAAATGGAAGGAGGAGGAGGAGAAAAAATAAATTAGGCTGGTAGAATAAAACTGTAAAAAATACTGTCATTACTATCCTTAGAGAGATAAATATATCTAAGAAATGAGAAGCAGCTTATACTAAAAAAGAGGAGCATTAAGAGTATAAAACAGCTCTTGGAAACAAAAATATGACAGCACATAGACAATGAAAGCATGTCAAGAACATACTGAAGATTCAAAATAAGCTACAAACATTTAAAAATTATACAAGACATGAATAACTACCTAAAAGAAAAATCAGAAAAGCTTAAAAATGAGGTGAAGACTCAATAAAGAATTAGAAATTTAGGGGCCGGCCCTGTGGCCGAGTGTTTAAGTTCGTGCATTCTGCTTCGGCGGCCCAGGGTTTCGCTGGTTCAGATCCTGGGTGCGGACATGGCACCCCTCATCAAGCCATGCTGAGGCGGCATCCCACATGCCACGACTAGAAGGACCCACAACTAAAAATATACAACTATGTACCAGGGGGGCTTTAGGGAGAAAAAGAAAAATAAAATCTTTAAAAAAAAAAGAATTAGAAATTTAAAAAAAATTTTCAGAAATGAAGAATAAACTAATACAAGAGTGGATAAACACAATAGGTAATGCTGTAAGAAAACTATAGGAAGAAAAAACTAAACACTAAAAGAAAAATGAAGAAATGAAAAGAACATTCTGCACACCTGGGAATACTGACCCAGAAGAACTAACACCAGATATATTCTGGGAAAGTATAAAGAAAACAGAAAAATAAACTTTTGGGCATCTAGGAAAAAAGAGCAAGTGACTTACAAGGGAAAAAATATTATATCAGAATTTTTAACAGTAATGCTGTTTTACTAGGAGAAAATAGAGTAACATATTTAAGACATCCAAAGAAAGAAAATCCAAGTCAAGGATTATACATCTAGCAAAACTGACTTTCAAGGTCAGAGCACAGATAAACAATTATTAACCTGCAAGAACTCAGGGAAAATTGTTCTCGTGACCCCATCTTGAGATATCTCCTGAAGAATGAGTCTTAGAAAACCAAAATGACTCTAGAAATATCAATAGATTGGCTGGTAGTGAACATTAAATATATAAGTTACTTGCAGAAGTAAGGCCAAGTGAACGTTAAAATGGAGAGAGGGTAGGATGTAATGGCCATATGTTCCGATTATATAGATATAGTAAAAGTATAAAAAAAATAGAAGGAATATATATGCTCTGTCCTCCAAAAAGGTCTAGAAACAATGACCAATAAGTAGTAATGAGCATTGCTAACAAGCAGAATGGGAACTTAAAATTCCATTTCCCACTAAAAGAATCCAGAGTTTCTTGGAGGAATGGGTGATTCCAGATTTGCAGGGAATGTAGAAAGAGTCTTAAACATCCTGCTACACTAGACAGCAAGGAAACAATCAAAGACTGCAAATGTCATAATAAAGGACACAGTGGACAACAGGAAGAGACTTTCACTGTCCAAAGATGAGACAATCTGAGTTGGAAAAAAGACAGTATTGCATGGCTTGAAATCCATGATGCATATGTTTCAGAGTGGGTTGTGATTAGATTGGGGCACAGAGAGGGCCTTTTGATTTACTGGAAATTTTCTGTTTTTTCACCTGGGTGGTGGTTATAAGGTTGGTTGCTTTATAATAATTTACTAACTATATATTAGTCTTCTGTGTTTTTGGTATTTGTGTTTTCTATTACAATAAAAAAGGTTAATTTAATAGAAATATTTATGCCAAAATAAGAAATATGATACCAGAAATGAAAAACTCATAGATAGGCTGGGAGATAAAGTTAAGAGAATTTTCCAGACAAAAGAACAAAAAAACCCCAAAGAGGGGAGAAAAAATTTGAGTGCCAGTCCAGGAGGTTTAACATCTAAATAACAAGAGTTCTATAAAGAGAGAACACCAAAAAGGAAGAGGAAATTAAAAAGTGAAGGAGTTTCTTTTTTTTTTTCTTGATTTTCTATATTGGGCAGTGGGGGTGAGGGGTCAGCAAACACTTTCTATAAAAGGACACAGACTTTTTTGTTGTTCTTGCAGGAAAAGCGTTTAATAAATTCACAGGCATTCAGCCACCAAATTATGAAACATTTGGAAATTCTATAATCATATATAGAGTGGCTACAATAAAAAAACTGCTGGAAACAATCTTTTCTTTTTAATTAAAAAAAATCAGACATATAACATCGTGTAAATTTAAAGCATACAATATGTTAACTTGATACATTATATATTGTGGTATGATTGCCATTGTAGCAATAATTAGCACCTCTATCACATTGCATGATTGTCCTTTCTTTTGAGTAACTGTAAGAATTAAGTCTAGTCTCTTATCAAATTTGATGATTATAATACAACATTTGGAAACATTCTTGAATGATAAAGTGGAAAGCATATCCACTTGGAACTGGGGAGAACACATGATTACTGCTTTTACTACGTCTAGGCAGTATTATATTGCAGGTCTCATTCAGACTCACAAAGCTAGAAAACATATATATGTATATATACAGATGACCCAAGGATTAAAGTGGAAAAATGAAACTGTTATTACTTACAGACATGATTTCCTGTGGTGACAAAACTAAATATATTGTTATTAGAATTGATAAAGATATTTAGGAAGACTGCTAATTACAAATTCAACTGCATTTGATACATAAACAACAATCAGAAAAATTCTAATATTAAAAATGGTTACAATAGCAAGATAATTATAAAATGGTGAAGAATAAATCCAACAAAAATACACAATATTTTTTGAAGAAGATTAGAACAGGGAGAGATATTTTCAGTTTTGCAGACCATATACAGTCTGTCACATTATTCAACTTAGCCGTGCAACATCATAGACGACATGTAAATGAGTGAGTGTGGCTGCATGTCAGTAAAACTTTATTTATAAAAAACAGCAGCAGGCCAGATTTGGCCCATAAAACAGTGCCTTGGCCCTCGTGCCACCTCTGTTCCAGATTGAAAGGGTCCACTAAGTACTTAGCACATGAATGAAAACGGTCCTTTGGAAGGCACATCACGACCTTAAGGAACAAAGAGAAGATTCTAAAGGTTTCCAGAGAGGAATAAACAGGATACATATCAACGATCTAGACTCAGAATAGCACTGGACTATCAACAGCATTCTGAAAGCTAGAGGAAAACACAGCAATGCTTTCAAACTTCTAAGAGAAAATTACACCTTAGCTGGATTTCTATCAATTAGAGTGTGAGGTTAGAACAAAAGTGTTTTACACATGC